TGAGTTCCCAGTATGCATTGGACTCTGTCACAGGTTTGGTGATGGAGAGTTATTTAAGACATTATTCTTGTCCTTGAAACTCTTCTTCACAACTTGAAAAGACAGGCATGCAAAATACAATGCAGTGTGCCCAAAAATGGTGTACAAAAGTTGTCACAAGAGCATATTTCTGTCCACATATTTTTGTGAAGTGCTATGCAATCTCTGGTCTGAAGGCGATGATTGATGATCTTTTAAATCATTTATTTCCAAGCTCAGCTGAAGCCAGACAGATGTGGGGGTTTGGGCATTAGGTCTGTGGTCCTGGGTGCTTGTTAGACAGTCGATGTCCTTATTTCTACTCATGCCTGTGGCCATCACAGTTACCAGCCTTATGTTGACATTGGCTGGCATTCTGGCTCTGTGGCCCTTAGGCAAACCCCAAATTGGTTAGCCTTACTTTCAGGGTTTGAGATGATCACAAAGGTGATGATCGGTCACTGCAGAAGCCATTGTGGAAACAGCCGGAAATGCCTGCTTTCCCCTATGGCTCTGTCTACAACGCTCGCTTCTCTTGCCACCATTTCGTTAAGGCAATCGCTGCGCCTGAACTTGGCATCACTGTTCTTCTCGCACGGGCTCACACTGAGCAAGTACTTCTTCCTGAGGGTCTTCAAGGAGGTGGGAGAGGTTTTCTAGATATTCAGACCGGCAGGTTGGGTTAACCTTGTGTGTTTCGGAGAAAAGCAGCGTCAAAGAAAACCTGAGTTTTCTCTAAGACAAATGTCTCCGGGGCTTTTTAAAAATCGAGCCATTTGGGGCACCTGGGTGGCTCAGTCGATTGAGCATCTGACTTCGGAGGTCATGATCTCAGGGTCCGTGAGTTCAAGCCCCACATCGGGCTTGCTGCTATCAGCCTGTCTGTGCAGAGCCCCCTTCGGATTCTCTGTCTCCCTCTCTCTGCCCCTCCCCTGCTTTTACTCTCCTGAAATAAATATTTTTAAAAAATCGAGCCACTTAACAGCAAACAAGTAGAACTGTGACTGCTGGCTCCTTCGTCTAGGAGGCTGAATTGTGACTGAAATACATTCACTTCGTTCTGCGGAGGGATAAGAATGATCAGCTTTGATCTCATCTTCAAATCGTGTCGAGAAGATGGCTTAAAAAAATTCTGTCCTCACCTTTAACCCCATTGGTGATCTCTCCTCCCTTATTGAGAAAGTCCGGAAGCTGGGGAGGGAAGCATCGCCCGTGAATGATCTGATCTCATAGGAACACCTAAGTTCCAGAAAAAAAAAAAATAGAAGAGAGAGAATATTTGCTCATTTATTTTGGTCAGGAGAGAAATGCTTTGACTCACCTGACTTTGTCTCTTCTTGCCATTAGGAATTATAAGCTAGAATGTTTGGGGGAGTCGGGGATCTTGTATTGAAACCGAGCAACTCAGATCCTTCCATGTCACCTCAAAAGATACACATTTTTAGGTGTACAGAGTCTTTACGGATTGTTCTGGCAAAAAGGAAATGTCATTATATAAGAGACATCCAAAGTTATACCGAGCATGAGATCTTCTATGATTCAAGGGAATCTTTTGGTTATCAGATCATTTTGTGAAGAGTCCACCATGGGTGTGCCCTGGTAGCTAATCTAGATCTTACATGTACAAGTTCATGTTCCTCTGCAACACGAAGCACTTTGTTTTGTTTTGTTTTCTGGTTACTGCCGTCTAGTTGGGGAATCCCTCTTCCCATTATAATGGGATTGATCTTACCCCAGGATTCATTGCTGATTACTCTAGCAATATATGTGATTGCACCATAATAAATGACCGATATCCAACAAGTTTTGATGTCTCTATGGCAACGTCCTGTGAGTAGAGTTAATACCTCCTGACCCCTGATGTAGCCTGTCTGGTCTGTCCAGAGGTGTGCTCCAGATGTTACACAGAAGGGTCCACTGTGGCTACCGGCCCTCAATGTCCTCCTGAAAGGTTGAGATCCCTGTGGCCTCGCCAAGCATGCATCTTTCCAAGGTGTCCCCACCAGTGCCATTGTACACATGCTTGCGTGCTGATTTGTGTACAGCCAACAGCTGCTGCATCACACACACACACACACACACACACACACACACACGCGCGTGCGCGCGTTTTAAGAGCAAACGTTAAGTCAGTAATAGGGAGCAAGTAAAACTGCCCCGTACTTTGAAAGGCAGCTGCTTTCCTGGAGGTTAGTACCTAACATGTAGGTAGAGAGCTATGCTGGTTCCTTTTATTCATCCCCTTGCTTTCGTAGCCATTCCCTTGGCGACGGAATGACCCAGCCAAACACTTGAAATTGATGCATCTGAAGGCAACTGTTTTCTATTTTAGACAAAACCTACCTACCGCTCCCATTCCCGAGTGGTGGTGAGGAGGAATACAGATCATGGCCGTGCCCTTCTCAATTCCATGTGAGTAACTATTGTTCGCAATTCTAGTTCAACAAATAGCACGTCCAGGGCATCTTAGCACATTTGCTCCTCCCCCCCCCCCCCCCGATTTATTTCATCTGTTCTTTTCTGTATTGTGAGCCAGCAGGCTGATGTTTTGCCTTTCTGTCACTAATGAGAGCTTCTGGACACATGCAGATGGCCATTCAACTATTGGGTGAAGGCAAGCCTCTAAGTCGCAGCCTTGACTGTTCAGCAATAACAGAAAACTTCAGATTATTTGGAAAACACCGTTTAGTGGGCAACTGAGATTTTCCCTACATATCACCTCATCTATAACAGAAGCAGCATGGTAAGGTAGAAGACCCATGGACCTCAAGGCATTTTAGGTTCTCTCCTTGGGTTTTGATCTCTCTTATTGCTAGCGGGGGAAAGCCTGGGCAAACCACTGAGCCAACATCAGTCTCTGTTTCTTGACTCATTGTGAGGCTTAAATGAGAAAATAATAACAATATCTAAAATCTGTTGAGTATGTATATATAATACATAATGAATATATAATGAATATATACATGATGAATTATATATACATAATGAATATATACATGATATATAAATATATTAATTAATGACTATATAATAAATATATAACAGATGATAAATCTCATATATTTTATTATTTTTAAAAAATTTTAATGTTATTTTGAGAGAGAGAGAGAGAGAGTGAGCACAAGCAGGGGAAGGACAGAGAGAAGGAGAGACAGAATCCCAAGCAGGTTCTGTGCCATCAGCGCAGAGCCCGATGCAGGGCTTGGACTCACAAACTGGGAGATCATGCCTTGAGCCAAGATCAAGGGTTGGACACTTAAGCACCACCCAGGCACCCCTCATATATTTTAACTCACTGAATCCTCCCTCAACCCTATGGGATTCCAGCCATTTGATGGCTGAAAAGTGTGGGGCACAGACAGTGAAGTAACTCACCCAGAATCCCATGCCTAGAAGTGAAGGAACCAGGATTTGACTCCTGCGTGTCTACCTCTGGAGTTAGGAATTTCATCGCTACCTTTTGCATGAATATAGAATGTATACTACAACACATAAAATAAATATCAACTTCGAAATGTGAACTCTAACCTGACTACCAACGCTAAGAAACAGAAACAAATAAGCTCAGCTTCAGGCTTCCCTTAGTCTTGTTTTTGTTTTTTGTTTTTTGTTTTTGTTTTTGATAAACTGTCACACTTTCCTTAAGTATTTTCTCCCGTATCAATGTGAAAACTTGAGATGCTTTCCCAGGCAGGTCCAGGTCAGAGCTTGAACTGCCGTCTCACTCTCAAGTCCCTGCCAGAGCTGTTAGGCCGTGAGTGAGTCTGCTTTCCGCACCACCCTGTCCTGCCTTTGGTGCTCAACCCTGAAGTGCTCCCGGGGTCCCTGACCAGAGGCCCTGGATGGTCTAACTCCCTCCACGCCCTTTCATTCCCTCTTCCCTTTTGAACCACATTTTCTTGGAATCTTGTCTGCTGACTCATTCTCTCCAGCTCCGAAGGCTTACCTGCCTACTTCCTTGCTTACATCACTTCAAGGCTACATACTTGGGTCCCTAAGTTGGGCAGAACACACAGACTTCTCCTAGGCACCTCGCACGCACATATGAGAAGTCTGTTGGAAACAGTAGTGGAAAGAACACAAGTTTTGGAGGCAGAGTTAGGGTCAGATTCTGTCTTTACCACTTTCTAGCTCTGTGCCATGAGGCAAATCTTTTCACTTTTCTGAGGCTCTATTTCCTTATCTGTAAAATGGGGATAATAATAATAGTGGCTCAAACACACTGAATTGTTTGTCAGGAGGTAGGAACGGGGCTATGTGTTTATGTTATCTCATTTTTTTTTTTTTCATCCTGTGCCGTTTCTCATACTGTACAGGTTGGGCCTGAGCCTTTACAAGGAGAAATAAATGAGCTAAGGTCTGACAGACAGTAAATGCTGGAGCTGGAACGCAAACCCAGGTCTGTCGGTCGGGATGCTTGCGTTCTTTCAGTGAATACTTATTGTCCTCGTTATGTTATAGACACTAATAACTTCTTAAGAGATTTGTAAGAGTTAAATGAAATAATGTATATAAGGTACCCAGCATAGAGCCACGTACATTTTCTTAAGAAGTATCAGCTCCTTTCCCCTGCCCTTTCCCAAAGGCCCTCCACCGATGGGAAAATCAGCTTTGGCAGGCAAGATAGGGGAGCTATTTTTGGCTGGGTGAGTGAGGCTGGGGAAGAGGAGAACCAGGAGCTTTTCTGCATGTCAAATCACACAAGGGTGGCAGCTTTCAACCCTGTCTATCCAGAGGCCTGGCTGGCCTTGTTGGTTATGTCTTTATATAGACTCTCATGTCCCTTTTTGAACCCTGTAACCTGAGAAAGAGTGAACAACTGGAGGAAAAATGAAAAAGATGAATGGATTAAAATATATTCGCAAAAAATTCCTATAGGAATTGGGACTACTTAGCCTGGTGAAGGGAAGACTAGGGAAAAGAATTCTTCGTGTAAAGGATTATATTATCGATAATGGCAGCATGTATTTCTCTAAAGGTGAGAGGCTGGACGTGATGACATCCAAGTCCTTGGAGAACCTAAGCTTTCACGTCCATGGAAATGAAGAATGGACAGTTAAGATTAGAGTATAAATTTCAAAACCATAAAGACTCGAAGACAGTGAAAACCTGATAGTAAGTTTTTCTGTTCTTTGGCTACTTTAGGTATATGGATTATAGATCTTTCCTTCTTCCTGTGATTGCCTCCAGTCTATTTAGGTGGGGAATAGTCATGTATTATGTGTGTCCCAAAATAAAGCCTTTTGAATGCTTCGTTGCTGTAAAAACACACACACACAAATTCTGTGATTGCTTTTCATCTGAAGGCCCAAATTTTCCTTTTTAAGATACGAATACATATTTTGTATTCTGTGAATAATGGCCACATGGTAAGCCATCTTAGTCATTTCCACCTTAGCCTCAATTAGTTTAAAAGTTCCATTCAGTAAAGAAATTGTGGTTTATATACACAATGGAATACTACGTGGCAATGAGAAAGAATGAACTATGGCCTTTTGTAACAACATGGATGGAACTGCAGAGTGTTATGCTAAGTGAAATAAGTCGTACAGAGGACAGATTCCATATGATTTCACTCCTATGTGGATCCTGAGAAACTTAACAGAAGACCATGGGGGAAGGGAAGAAAAAAAATGGTTAGAGAGGGAGGGAGCCAAAACATAAGAGACTCCTAAAAACTGAGAACAAACTGAGGGTTTATGGGGGGTCGGGGGAGGGGTAGGTGGGTGATGGGTATTGAGGAGGGCACCTGTTGGGATGAGCACTGGGTGCTGTATGGAAACCAGTTTGACAATAAATTTCATAATAAAAAAAAAGTTCCATTCAGCTGAATAAGCAGAGATTTTAGAGAAAAGTAAATAAATATATTGTTCCAAGAATATTACTAAGGCAAGTCTCGAGGGGTCAGTACAACACAGTGAACTCAGGTAGCTAAGCGGCATCATGAGGGCAATGGTACCACTCAGGAGAGAAGATGGAAGTAGCTCAATGGATGACTGGAGAATACAAAATGGCGGTGATGCGTTCTTTCAGGGTGTCAGTTATTTAATCAACCGCGACGACATACCAAGTGCTGACACAGATGCTGGAGGCACAAAGGTTACAAAGACACAGCTCTACCCTTGGCCACCGTGTTATAGTGGGTAGCACTGACTGCTGCAACAGAGAGGCTAAATTTATTTTATATATATGTGTATATATATATATATATAACCATATATATATACACATATATATGGTTATATGTATATAATATTTATAAACATAGTAGCTAAAGTCTGATAGACCTTATATATATGTGTGTGTACATATATATATACACATATATATGTAATTATACATTTTATATATAAATATATACATATATAATTGTAAACTCAAAACTATATATACTTCTGCACTTACAATTTGTAATTGGTTATGTATGTGTATATATATATATGTGCATATATTCACACTTTCATGTATATATATACACATACATATACGTATGCACACATATACATACACACACATATACATGCACATACATATACATGTACATACACACATGCATATATATATGTAACTGTAAATTGCAAAAGTATATTTCGTCTTCTTGTAATGGCCCAAGGTGGATGCCCCTGGTCAGTGAGCAGCTTTTCTATATGTGGTCCCCGAGGGACCGAGTTTCCTCCAAATTTGTTCTCTACCACCTACTGTGACCCCATTTTCAAGGACCTTCGGCCAGTAGAAGGTGGAAGTGAGCTCTTCCCTGTTCTCAAAAGTGACTCACCTCACCTCAGCTTACATTCTGCCACTGTAACTGGTTACACAGCCATGGCTAAGTTCAAGCATGGCTGGGAAATGTATCCTACTTGCCTGACCATGAAGAAAAGGAAAACATTCTGGCAAACAGCTGGCATTCTTTGCTATATAAACTTAGAACTAATCTTTTTTTAAACTATTTTTCAAACTTTTTTTTTAATGTTTATTCATTTTGAGAGAGAAGGAGAGAGAGAGCAGGTGGAGGGGCAGAGAGAGAGAGGGGGTACAGAAGATCTAAAACAGGCTCCGTGCTGACAGCAGAGAGACCAATGCCAGGCTCGAACTTAGGAACGTAAGATCCTGAGTCAAAGTTGGGACGCTTAACCAACTGAGCCAGCCAGGTGCCCCCAAACTTAGAACTAATCTTAAGAAAAGTCACAGATGAACATAAGAGAAGGGAAACAAAAGTAATATAAAAACAGTAATATAAAAAAAGTAATATAAACAAATATAAACAAATAAAATAAAACAGTAATATAAAAAAAAAAGTAATATAAAAACAAACAGAGGGGGTTACTGGAGGGATTGTGGCAGGGGGGATGGGCTACATGGGTCAGGGGCACTAAGGAAACTACTCCTAAAATCATTGTTGCACTATAGGCTAACTAATTTGGATGTAAATTAAAAAAAAAAAATTTAAATTAAAAAAATAAATAATTAAAAATAAAAGAAAAAGAAAAAGAAAAGAAAAAAAAAGAAAAGTTGCCCGGGTTCATGTGAAGTTTACCTGTTCTACCATGCCAGTTCTTCATACATAAAAATCCCATAAGCCCTGTGCAAGGGCATTTTATTTTCTAACTTCTCCGTGGATTTATATACTGGCCCCTCTTATCCATCACCCTTCCTTTCTTCTTTCCTCTCCCCACCTTGCTTGCGTATCAGTGGCTCTGGGCTACTCCCTAGCCTATACAAGCTCTAGGCTTGGAGTCGGCAAAATGCGGGCCCCTAGGCCAAATCCAGCCTGCTGCCTGTGTTAGTATGGCCCAGGAACTAAGAACAGTTTTTACCATTTAAATAGTTGGAAGAAAAAAAACCCAAACAGGAATACTAGTTCATAAAGTGTTACGAGTTACATGAAATTTGAATGTTAGTGTCCGTAAATAAAGTTTTATTGGAACACAGCTGTGCTCCTTTGTTTACGTACTGTCTATGGCTGCTTCTGCCTATAACCACAGAGTTAAGTAGTTGTAAACCACAAAACCTAAAATACTAGCTGCCTGGCCATTGGTGGAAGTTTTCAGGCCATTGGTACAGGTCACAAGACAGTAGAGAGTCTCTGTTGGAGGACAAAGGTGTGATAAGTAAGCTGTAGCATGCTGTAAATATGGTACAAAGTAGACAAAAAAAGGTAACTTGAGACTAAACTCTTGATCCCTGGCACTAATAATTAAGAGACAAAAAAGAGAAGATGATCAAAGTTAGAAGAGACTTGCATGATGTCCAAAGCAGGAAAGTAAAAGAGATTAGGAAAGAATGAAAATGAAGGGGACTACCTGGCATATTTCAGAATCAGGACCCCAAATCTGGAAACCACTCGCTAATATTTACATTGGTACTCCTTTTATCCCTTTTAAATTTATATTTGTGTACATGCTTAATCTCTTTAGATTGCATTGTTTTACTTTTTATGGTATACAATATCTAGAACCGTCACTTATACTCAATGGATTTTCAGAAAAGACTGATTTAGTGAATGAATGAATGAATTAATGAATGAATGAAAGGAAGCTAGGCTACTCCTCATGTGTATGGCACTTATGTACCAATTTGGCAAAACTGATGAATTTGGGCATATACAAGCCCTGTGTGCAAATGCCTTGGCAAGAAGGTGAGCTGGATTTACCTACCTCTTGCCCTCTGGTCTCGCACCCTGTGCAGGGGAGTATTGCACAGAGGGACACGGTGACCCTGAATGGGGTAACATGGACACTTCCGTTGGGCAAGACCTTGAACACAGAGGCAACTTAGCGAGACTCTCGCGTACACTCACCTCTACACGTGGCAGCTATCCGACCTCCTAAAGTGGTCCAAAGTAGAATATTGCAAAGTAATTGTCAGCCTGTTTGCCTCCGGTCATGCAAGTTGCTTGGTACGACTATGATTCCTCAAGTATTCAGACGCTGATCAGCTTACAAATTAAAGTAAGCCCAAACCCTCATTTAGAGGGAAAGGTTATATGCCATAAAACTACTTCATGCCAGATATTGGAGTAGTGTAGAAATTGAGCCTATATAAACACCTTGGTGCTATTCCATTTGGACACATGCCACAAAAAATAACCGAGAGTAGTTGTGAAGAAATGTCAATAAATCATCTATTTAGCTTGACACGGCAACGTACCAATTTCTTTCTTTTGTCAGCCTAAGTGCTCTTCAAAGCCAGACAACGCGTAAGCCCTAATTAGAAATTTATCCTCACGTAGGTCTAAAGGATGGCCAAAATGTAGTTCAAAAAGAAAGATTAGAGAAGGGGGCTCAACTTCTGTGGCCTAAAATAACTGCCATTTCAATGACTCCAATGCTGCACCCCTGAATCTAATCGGGTTTTGAATGAAAAGACTTGATTTCCTACAACGTATTGTTTCTTCCCACATAGGCCTTAGATGTTTGTCATTCCAGTCTTTTCCCCACTCCCTTTCCTTCTCTCTTCCTTTCTCTATTGTTTTCTCCTTTGTTCGCACCCCTGTTGTCCTACCTCACTGGTTAGCAGCCTCTGGGTCCTAACAGTGACCCCACCATGAAGAGGTTGGTGACTCGTTTACTGTCGCATTATGAGGCGGACAAGGAAGGATTCCCTGGTGTGGAAGAAACTTGGATCAGATCAGCTCAAACACAAGGGTTTTTCACTCCAGGCCTTCGATATACTAATGACCGCCGTGACACCATAAGGCGTGGGTACACGTGTGGCGTTCATTGTCAAACAGACTTCAGACACTTGGTTGACTTGAGAACCTCTTTCAGTAGAAACAATAATGCCCTGGAGAGCTCACTTCATGATCCAGCGCTCCGTGTCATAGCCCCGTTTTCAGGGCCAGGGAGAAACAATGTGTCAAAGGCAAAACTACATCTGGGACAAAATTAATGAAGGTTATTTATTCACGAACTTGCATGGAAAGAACTCATCTGTGGTCACTGTTGTTTCAGCAGGTGCACAAGCTGGGGGTGGGTACCTTTTATAGAATAAAAAGAACTACTGAAACAGGTTTTGATCGGCAGGTGTTCTGTTAAAGTGAGGTCTTAGAAGTGGAGAAGACTTTGTAATTGGCCTTCAGGTATATTTGGCCTTTCTCAATTGGCTACAAGGGGCCAGTGAGCAGTGTGGGGACACTCCAGGAATGAAAAAAACAAGTGGGGTTCCATGGAGGCATTGGCATCAAACTGTCTCATTATTCCTTGTGGGAGACAGCTGGGTGGCAGGCAGGTTCTCAGATGTGAAGATGAACCAGAATATTAGACACTGGGTCAAAGTGAAGGGAAAGAGTCTACGGACCAGGCACTCTGCTAAGTACCTTATGTTCACTTTCCATATGATATTTTCCTTCATTTAAGATTGCCGATCTTTGAGAGAGGCACTATCATTTCCATTTTACACATGAGAAGTTAAGTAACTGCCCAAGTTTATAGCAAGAAAGTCATGGAACTCAGTTTCTAGGCTGTCATGCCTGCAACTCCTTCCTAATACACCAACTGAATCCTGCTAAGTCCCGGTCAGTTTACAACCTACAAGGATTTGACGTTATTCTATCTCACACAAGTCATAGAAACCGTGAACTCCAGAGGGGGTTCAAAGTTTGGTTATACTGGAATACTGTTGAAGTAAGTGTTACCGAAAACAGTTGCAATATACATCTGGCTTTTGCTACGCTGAGCCCTCTCGTTTTGGGGAAGAGGTTCGGTTGTTGTTTTTGTTCTAATGATATTTGCTACTATGGTATTTGATCTAAATTGTTCCTTAAGCCTGGGATGGTTTTCAGTAAATATTTCAATAATGGATTAAGGTGGAGTCTGAATATGGGAAAAAGAAGGTGTACTGTTCTTTGTTTGGCTTTCAGGATCCTAAATGATTGAATTCAGCCCAGCTTTTCCAAACTTACTCTACATCTCTCCCTCTTTCACAGCTCCAATCCTCTTCTTCAAAAAGGCATGTACTTTTCCAGCATAGAAAGTCTGTTCTTATTTCTATTCGATTCCTAACCTTTTCTGTCCTCCCTTTTTCTGCATCACCTTCTCCATCATTCAAAACCCAATTCAAGGGGTGCCTGGGTGACTCAGTCGGTTAAATGCCCAACTCTTGCTTTTGGCTTAGGTCATGATGTCATGGTTCATGGGATTGAGCCCCACATTGGGCTCTGCCCTGACAGCATGGGGGAGGCTGCTTGGGATTCTCTCTCTCCTTCTCTCTGTCCCTCCCCCAACCACACACACATGCTTTTGCTCACTCTCTCTGAAAAGAAGGAAGGAAGGAAGGAAGGAAGGAAGGAAGGAAGGAAGGAAAGGAAGAAAACTTAAAAAACCCAATCCAAACCTTTGTGAAAGCATTGGAGTAGTGGGCAGAACAAAGAAAGCTAATTCTTCTGTAGAATCGCTTTCCAACCCCCACCCCTGCCCCGACCCAGTCATGGAAAATTCTATACGTACATAAATGTAGGGTGAATAACATAACTCACTGTCAGCAATTGTCATCCAGCTTTAGCATTTATAAATGCTATCTTGATTCCTCTATTTGCCCCTACCACTCCTCTCTCGTACCCTTAAAATGTTAAATAAAAGCAGTCAGAGGAGACATTCTTGCCTTTTTCTCAATTCTAGAAGGAGTTTGTTCAATTTTTATCATTAGTTATATTAGCTGTAGGTTTTTGTTGGTCTTTTATCAGAGAGAGAAAGATTCTTTTTAAAAAAAATTTTTAATGTTTATTAATTTTTGAGAGGCAGAGACAGCATGAGGGGGGAGGAGCAGAGAGAGACAGAGACACAGAATCTGACACAGGCTCTAGGCTCTGAGCTGTCAACACAGACCCTGATGAGGGGCTTGAACTCACAGGCCACGAGATCATGACCTGAGCTGAAGTCAGATGCTTAACCGACTGAGCCACCCAGGTGCCCCGAGAAATATTCTTTCTATCCCTAGTTTTCTGAGTTATAAATCTTGAATGGGTGTTGAGTTTTGTCAGATCCTTTTGTACATCTATTGAGTAATCAATCATATAGTTTCTTTAGACACAAAATATTGTACATTAAAGTTTTTGTTTTGTTTTATTTTTGTTTTGTTTTTTGAGCGTCCACTAATCTTGCATTCCTGGGATGAAACTACATGTACATAATGTATTAACTTTTTTTTTTCAATTGCTGGATTTAATATCCTAATATTTTTAAATCATTTTTGTGTATATCTTATCCCTTTGGTCTTTAGTTTTGTCTTTTTAGATTTTGGTACCAGGATAACGTTATGGGTAATAAGATGATTGGAATGTGTTCCCCAAACCTCTATTTTCTGAAAGAATTTGTGTAAGATTGGTACCAATTCTTCCTCAAATCTTTAACACCATTCTCTAGAAAACCCATCCTGACTTGGAGTTTTGTTTTTTGTTTTTTGTTTTTTTTTTTTGTGTGGGAACGTTTTTCAAAATTCTTATGAATTCAATTTCCTTTGTAACTGTGTCGATAGGCAGATAGATGATCAATAGATAGATGGATAGATAGGTGATAGAAGGCTATTCAAATACACATATTTTTCCCTATTTTCCATTGTCAGTTTTGAAATGTGATTTTTCAAGGAAATCACTTCTTTATTTCACCTAAGTTGTCAACTGTGTTGGCATAAAGTCATTTTCTTGCACTCACAGACTAGGACGTGGCAGAAGAGAAAAGCAGCCCAACTCTTCTGAGCTCCTGTCCAGTTCTTTATCTGCTATCTTCCCACAGGACACAAATGATGACTTAATTAACGTGGCAAATATTTGTTGAGCTCCTACAGTATACCAAAATGTTTGCTGTGCCACGGAAATGCAGACGATCAAGACGACATATCTGGCTTCAAGGATCCCATAGTCCAGTCAAGGAGATAAACTTCTAATCTTTGAATATAAACCGATAAATTGAATATATCAGAAGAGGAAGTGATTGATGAACTTTGGAAATGGCAGGATCAGAGAAGTCTTCATAAAGAGGGCAATATTTACAGTGGGCTGTAAAGGAACTGCAGGAATAGACTGGGTAGAAAATGCTTCCAGGTAGGGACAAGTCAACGTACAAAGGAACCAAGGTATGGGAGGGCGAGCTGTGCTCAAGGAAGAATGACAATCTGGCCCAGCGCAGATGTATTCAGAGAGAGTTTCAGAGGCAGGTGGAGGTCAGGGTTTGAATGGTCTAGCCTATATGCCTGAAATGAATATTTGGGAGGCTGGGGGGATTCCTTAAGTACAGAAGTAAGGAGATCAAGATGCAGAGATTAGACAGCAACAGGCAGTATTCCTCAAAAACGAGCTTGGAAGCAGATACATCAAAAGAATCCCATGCGGATGTTTGTTAAAAATGCAGGTTCCGGCGTCCAATCCCACTCCTACTGGATGGAGTTATTGGAGGTGGGCCAGGGAGGACGTATCTTTATGCCCTATGCCTCTTGGATGATTCCTGATGCACACCACGCTTAGAAAATGAATTGGAGCAGAGCTTTGGTTTTCGAACTACTCTTGGGTTTGGGTTCTGGATTTCCTTCAAGCAAAGCATCTGCTTTTTTAATTTTCCCCATGTTGAGCACCCACATACAACTTTAGATTCACAAATGGTTTCTACAGATAAAAATAGCTTGAAAAACATGGGGCTAAAGATTGGAGAAATTAGTGTTTTGTAAACCATTTGGAAGCTGTGGCAGGGATTGCTAAGTGCCTGTGAGGAGTACCTGGTGGGAAGGAGGGCCAAGACAGGGATGGATTTGAACACCGCTTCTTGGGTAAAATCGTCAGAACTTGTGGAAGGGCTGTAGAATGTGGAGAAGCAAAGGGAGAATGACTAGAGTTATTCTCAGTAGCTCTTCTGGTTTCAGCCCCCAGAACCTATATTTGTGTATCTTTTCCACTCTTTGACTCCTGTCAACTCAACAACGTCAGGAGAAAATCACTAAGTATAAACCATAAGATTCCCCTATGTTCCCAGGTTGCCAGTTTACTCACCATAAGCCGCTCACTTAGTGGGTTAATCCTCAAACTGATTCTTTATCATGCAGTATTACCACCTCTCACTATAAAGAACCTAGATTTGCTGTAAAAATAAATGCTTCTCTAATCTAGATAAAGAGTAGGCATGAGCTGGAAAATTATGTTGTTATAATGATTCAGTGCCAAAAATTCTGCTCTTTTTTGGGACATTGAGCCAAATTTACTGCTCTGTTCTTGAGCAGAAAGAATTCATAATCAAAATAAAATAAAATAAAAAAAAACCCTCAGAGTTCAAAATAAATAATTTTAAAAACTTGGAAAGGAGACTGTTTTCATGATCTTTAAATCTTTTCATTTTGCTTTGTTTGTTTGCCTTTTATTTTTAAAACACATTTAACAGTTGGCTTACATTTGGCCTGCTGACCAAAATAAAGCTAGTTGGACCCTTGTTGTTTTGGTTCACTGATTGGTCAGAGGTTCCTGACAGCGCCAATGGAAGAAACGAGGATCCCTAGGACTTACACTGGTAGATTGCAACAAATAAGCGAACTCTTCAGAAAACGGATGAGCCACCTATCTGCTAACCTGTTTGAACAGGTAAAGAAACACAAAACACACTGAGCTTCCCTAATGCTAAATTAAGTAGATGGGCTTATTTCATTGGCTTTAGTGAAATCAACTCTTTGGGCCAATGGCAAAAACATCTCCTATCATTAAAAGCCTCATGGCAGATGAGAAGACATAAACATCTGTTATTAAATCCTTCTATAAAGTACCGTAAACAGCACCATTGATTGAATCTATTATCAAAATACGGCCTAGTGCAAATACGTAGAAGGTAGTAATAGGATCACCTTCACTTTATTCTTTTAGATTAATTTCAACGTCCCGATGATTTGATCTCTGAATACAGGGGCAATCAGGAAATTAAATGTTTCCACATCACAGCTACAGGGTTTAAACAAATGGGCTCCTTCCAGATATGTGTTCTGAAGGGATCAAGTACAACTCTACTTTTCTTGCAGGTAAATCTTGAGAAAAGCTCTTGACTTAAACTTAGTTTCCCGCTCTATAAAATGGAGCTAACTATATTCTCTTTGAGTGTATTATAAATTATACAAGATAAAATATACAGTTGGCATAACATTCAAAAGATTGGGGTGTGTGTGTGTGTGTGTGTGTGTGTGTGTGTGTGTCTGTGTCTGAGTGTTAATGTTTGTTAGTCTCTGAACTGCCAGGTTGGTGACCTAGAAGTTGAACATAAAGATTTTTGTTCTTGTTCCAGACTGAAGTCAGATGGAGTCAACTGTTTCTTAAGTCATATTTCCCAAGTCTTCAATTTTTGTAGTTTCTCGGTTCTATCCTACACATAATTTATAGAAAGCTAAATTAACAATGGTTGCCAGCAATTGCGAGAGCTTTACTATCTATAAGGCACTTTCATAGACCTTGTCTTTTTGGAGCCTCACACAACACTTTAAGGGGATAATTACATTTCCCAGTTTATAACATGGACACTGAGGCTCAGAGCGGTAATAAATTGTGTAAGATCATATAACAAGTACTGAGTCTAAGGCACTCAGGTTTTCTGCCACAATAAAAAATGTGTTTCTTCTGTGCATATATTTAGATATATGTTCTAGGTGACCATGAAAGTAATCATCCAAATTGGGACATGTTTGGGAGTGAAAGGGAGTCGTATTAAAAATTCCACCAGGGCCACTGGGGTAAACTGGGATTGTCTTGAGCAAATCGAAACATGGATCCTTCTTGATAAAATTTGTTTCATGAGATTGGATGGTCTATGCGAGGTCTCCCATTTAGTCTCAGTTTTAGCCCACCTTCAACAGATATTTGAACTGAACTTTAGAGAAAAGGTTTCCAGGAAGAGAACATAAATAGAAAAATATTGACTTTTTTTGGCATAGGGCAGTAGTACACAAAATAATTGTTGAATTTCAAATCACATTCTATCTCTTTGTGTAGAAGCTCTCTTGTCATTTACTCTTCCCCAGTGAGATTCCCTGGGATCTAATTTGGGTCAATACTGAACATGCCCACAAAAGGAAAGAATCTTTATATGTTAGGGAGTTGACTAAAAAGCATACTCAAAGACTTTGTAAAACCTTAGCAAACTGGATTTGCAAGGCAGCCTAGGCTTGCTTAACTGATACACAGGTTCCAGAGAACCTGCAGAGATCTTTAAAGATCAAAGCCTAATTGTATCTCTTGTCTTCTGTTTTCCAGCTATCTTTGTTGATGATAGGCCAAAGAAGTGTGTAAAATCTGTAATATCACAACAGAATTTGTGTGCATTACGCAGGATTTTTTTTAGAATTATTTTCGGCAAAGCAGGGAATGATGAGTGAAGAGAGATTTAAGTTGCTTATGGAGGCTGCTAGAGTTTTCCTTTCCTCTGTCTCTTCTCCCAGTCCTTTGTTCCTTCTCTCCTTCCCCTCTCCCTGCCTTCTTTCTTTTCTTTATTGATCTTTTTTTCTCTATCTCCCCTAAAGCCTGGAATTGTCCTTTGTACCTACTAGGATTCTAATAGTATTTATTATTTGATTGATTTTTTTTTTAAGTAATTGACTGGTTGGCTGACCTTTCAAAATGAGCCTTTCTAGCCCTCAGATTTTTATCATCCTTCCTAGCAAGATGGGCAGAACATTGTTGAGCACTTTTGGTCACATGCTGATATTAAAGGGAGCCATTAAGAGTTGTCTGACAATGACTTTGCACCTCATCAAGGGAGGAATCCTAGGGATTACGAGGAACATAGAACCTATTATTTTTTGGCTATCAGACAATTTCTAGTCTTCATGAAAGCAAAATGTTAGCCACTTCAATAAGAGTTATTCTAGATGTTATAGGCCATGGCAAGGGATGGGGAGGGGGGGCTGTTTGTAAGTTTAAAGAAAGAAAAATTGAGAAATAAGTAACTGAGATGGTTTCAGATCATACTTCATCTATTTCTTCCCTCCTTCCGTGAATCAGTGAGACAGCAAATGAGAAGATAATACTTCTAACACAGCACCTACTTTACTGCGGTATGTGAATCCACTTCCTACTTGTGTGACCTTGGCAGATGACAACCCATTTGCAAGATGAAGGGAGGATACTTGTTCATCCCTTCAAGGTGTAATTACTGGGATTAAATGAAGCAATACAAAAAAGACCCCTGGGCCAGTGACTGGCCCATAGTAAACATTCAAAAATTATATTATTTGTTATGACATCATTTTTCCTTCGATGGTGTTCATGCCATGCTTGAGAGTCCCATCTTACTTCCAGGCTGAGACCTGGGGGATGTCCTTTCAGAGATTTTCCCAAGCAACCCCAAACCCCAAATACTTCCTATGTTCACCAGTGCCCCCGCTAAGGGCCTTTCATAGGAAACATGGTCTGTCACTCCTCAAATGCCAAAGAGGCAACCTTCAAACTCTGGTCTGAGTCCAGAAAGGACTTAAAAAAAGTTACTTTTGATGGAAAAATTCAGAAGATCTAGGTGTTTCCGGGGAGTGAGAGCAAAGGCAGAAGGAGAGAAGGCCAAAAAACCCCACACCACATCCCATGGAAATAAACAGGAACCCTTTTGAATTTCCACTAACATCCCTGCCCCTCTATTCTTTAAGTCCCCAAAGCCTTGAATAAAGGACTAGGAAGTCATGGCAGCCCACAGGGCATTTTCAGGACAAAGAAGATTCCTAGGGCTGCAAATTTCCTAAGTAACACCTGGGGATCAATTGGTGCACATGAATGAATATTCCATTGTAGTTTTGAGGATTTCTTTGTAAGTATCTAGCTTCAAGAATGAAGGGTGATGTCAGTCAGGAAAAAACCCCCAGTGAATCCTAGAACTTACTCCTCCAATTAGGCAGGGAGACACGTTAGAGCATGAAAGATTGGGTAATAATTCATACCTGTTGTGTTTCAGCGTTCCTTGTGAGCCTAAATGTAGACTGCCCTCACTCAAGCGTATGCATTCTTCTTATACAACAGCTCCAAGGTCTTGAATATTTAATTGCATTTTTCCTTTAAGACAATCACTTACGAGGAAATGTTGAAAAAGAACCTCCCGGGAAGAAAAGTTCACACCTCGTGAAAAATAAATCTGGGTAAAGTGACTTATGAAAGATCTATTCCAGTAGGAGCAGAAACTTTGAAGTCGTTTTCCTGTTCGAGAACAAAAACCCAACTTCCCTGACGATAAATTTACAGCACAATAGGCTTTGGGTATCACAGGAGGCTGTTGTCAATCTGGGCTTCCAGGTCATTCTGGGTTTAAACGGGACTTACTGTCACTCTTGCTTCAAAGGTCCTGGCACTTCTTTTGAGGTAGACCTTTCGGGGTTTTAAGGAACTTGTTTCTTTTTTTGAGGAAGAACCTTGCTTTTTCAGATCATAGCAGCTGGCCAGTTTGTGTACAAAGTATGCCTGGGTTCTTTCTTTCTAAAAAATGATTCTTGAAATGAAGATCTGGAAGGCCTTACTGGCGGACTGGGATGTAAGATTCCACAATGGCCCTGAGCATGGATTTTGGGATCCGATGTCCTGAGTTTAAACCCAGTTTTGTCAATTCCCTAGCAAGGTAAATGGGGGTAAAATTAATTCATTCTCTATGCTTCAGCTTCCTCAGGTGTAAAAAGGATGATATTATCTGTGATAGGGTTCTAGCAGGGGTTAGAATGGAGGACACACAAGTGTATGGCTTAATGCAGAGCATAAAATGAGTGCTTGAAGGGAGGTAACTGTCACGGTTAATCCTAACCATCTTGGGGTGTAAACCACTTTGTGGGGGTTCTTTTGACCAATAGTTTAACTAAACTACAATCAAAATAGATTTACTCGCTTGATATAAATGAACAAAGTTATGGGAGTCTTCTAATGGCAAGGAACGAGGGCTGAATAAGGCACTATAAAGATTTTTGTGGGGCACAATGTCCTCAAGTAGCTTGATTCTAGTTGAGATTAGATGTGAGCCTAAAAACAATAATGTCAAGCAGAAAGTGGCAAGGCTATAAGAGAATGCAGATGGAGTGTGACCAGAATCCAGAGGATAGAGAGAGAGTAACCTAGTTGAAGAAAGTCAGAGAAGACTTTGCAGATAAGGGCCCTATGGTACATATCTCTGTGATCTCCATATTTTGACAACAGGACTCCCAGAATTGTAATGACTTGGTGGAAAAGATCCGTATTCTATAGTATACAAATTTTGCACATGCTTGAGAACGTGCAAGTTCAATGTGTATTCTCTGATTACAGTAACCTAGTGCCATAATAAAATCAGTATCCTTTTAAAATGAGATTCAGGCTTAGCTTTCCCAAAGGACACTTGGCCATTTGCCCAGTGGTCTGTGCAGTAATGTACTTTTACAAACTTCCTTAGTTTGGAAATAAGGGAAGGGCAGTGGGAGAAGAAACCAGAAGGAGCAGGGCTGATCTTTAAGCTGTGGAAACTCTGCATTATGGCCCAGTGCCAAGAGGAAAATCTGTTCTCAGGAAATCTGCTTTGGGTGGGAGCAAGGTGGACACTCGTCTTCTCCTTCTCCTGTCCTGTTCTAATTCTCTTTCATCTTCATGTAGGTTATTTTCCATTCTATTCACCCCTGTGTCCATTTATTCACCATACATTCACTAAGTTTCTAGGCTGAAAAACTTAGGTGCTGGTGGAGGCAAGAGGATGAATAAAGCAAGACCCCTCGTCCTAATCACCCTGGTAAGAACATACGGGAAGGATGTAGGGAGTGGGGTCCCTATATGAAATGCCGGAGATGCAGACTTTTCCTATATTCCTTCTATTTCTATCTGTGTGTGTGTGTTTCTGCATACTGTTAGGAGCTAAATTTGCCCCACCCTTTGATGTTAGGCACTGCTTCTTTGTGCTTTAGCTCTCCCTCTTGAGTAAGAGCTTTGCCTGTATCTGGAAGCATTTTAAAATTTCAGTATAAAAAATGATTGGGTTGACTTACAGGCATGAAGGGGAAAAGAGGGCACAGTTGGGGAAAACCTGGTTGTAAACATATTCTGAAACAATAGCATATAAGTACAATTTGGTTGGGTTGTTAGGAGGGAAGACTAAGTTTAGTTTTCCCAGCCGTTCTCTACTTCTAGAGGCTTCTAATCACGACTAATTTGTAGGTGGACCCCTATTTACCTTTATTTTACGTTTGAGAGGATTTGAAGAGTAAGACAAAGTCTGCAGTCTAAAAATATTTCTCCCTTTGATTCCTGAAATTTCAAGATAAGCAGTTTAATTCTGTCTTAATTACTGCCGTCATCGGACCTATGTTTTGGAAAATGTTCTTGCTCTGGGCAGGATTATAAGAGAAATCTCCAACTGTTGGGAAACGCTCTTAAAATCACTTTTTTCCAGAATTGAGAAAGATGGGCAAATCAGAGTTCTGGTTTCTTCTTCTTCATCTTCCTTCTTCCTTCTTTCTTCTTCTTCTTCTTCTTCTTCTTCTTCTTCTTCTTCTTCTTCTTTTTTGTAAGTAGAATCTAACTCCATTCATTTGACTATATATAACTAGCAAAGTACAGACTGTTGGATTCATTTTTGCTTCTTTTTGTAGAACTTGGGCTCATGTCTGTGACGAAAAGTAAATACATAAAAGAACACTTAACTGAAGGATACAGAGACTCAATATCTTCACCTGAATTCTCTAGACCTTTGTGGACTAGTTGATTTTCTGGCCTCTGATTATCAGGATAACCGCCTTGTGTGTCTCCTTCATGCTACTTGTGGGGAGATGGCAATGGATTATAACAAGGACTGTTATGGTCTTCAAACCATTAATAGAGAGCTCGTCCAGTTTTGCAAGTTGGATTAGTTGACAAGAGGCAGAAAGCTAGAATACATTTGCATTCATTGGTTTAGTGGAGTTTCTCGAGGAAGTGTGTTGTACCACATTATCTCGTCACTACTTTGTAACTGACATATGCCCAATTGCCTTATACACTTTAGAAGCAACTGTCGTTTTATCTTGAAGAACAATTAAGTCTTCTGAAGGGTAAATGTTTCCAAGGAAGAAAAAAAGCCAGACTACAGTTTAATTTATTGAAAGTTATTTATAATTTAGTACTTACTGTCCTGAAAATGCCTGTCCCCTTGGAAATATGATTCAGATGCCCTGAACTGAGGAAACATTTTCCTTTTTCCTGTGTAAAATATGAAACAAAAGACAACTGGAAAACACTTCATTAAAAACAGTTCCTTTGTCCTTTTGACAATGAAAACTGAAAAGAGACATGCCAGTTTGGCTATGTGGGTGGTCCTCTTTCTATGCTAACCTTAATGTGACCTCACAAAATTTACTGAAATTTATTTGGTGGTTCTAGAGATTTTGAAAATATGTGTTGAAAAGCAATAGTCACGTGCGCTAAGGGATTTGAGAAATGCCATCTATTAAAAGTGAGTTTCCAAGAGCTAAAGGATACACCCAAGACCTTCTGCTCTGCCCAGACCTTAGTGTCCCCACAGCCTCGCCTGTTTGCACACCTGGGCAAAACTTTCTGTAGTCCGATCATGTTCCTTGGTCATTTGGTCTATTAGTTCAAGATCTTTCATGGGCTGAGTTTGCTATCAGCTGCATGTAACTGGTCTAAGTCAACGTATGTATGATATGTAGCAAATGAACTTAAAGTGTGCTCCCCATGAGAATATCTCTGCCTTTTGTTTTGTTTTGTTTAGTAATTCTAGAACGTTCCTCGTCTTATAATGCCCTGACCTTCTTCATAGTGCAGCAAAAAGGGGGTTGATTATCTGATGAAAAATGAAAATTAGATATTGTGTCTTGTTTCTTTTTTTTTTTCTTCTTTAAACGTCTTTTACTCTTTTGGAGTTAGCTTTTAATTTCCTAGGGCTGTCTGAGAAAAGTCAGTGAAGTTACCAGAAAGACTGCTTTCCGATTAATCTCTTTTGCTAGCCAGACAACTCTAACAGTTTTGAGAAATGAAAAATGAACCATGTACTTTTGCCTTTGGTTAACATTTCTCTGTTAAATGAAATTTGATATTTTACCTCTAACTCTATTAAAATGATGCTGTCCAAAACTATCATGTGGTGAAAGTCATTCTTTTTTTATCCACTATAAAATAGCTTTGTCTAGTTTGGTCGTAGAAAAATCAAAACTAAGCCAAAGCGTTCTTGTTTTAGTGATCCATCCCATCTAAGTAGAATATAAGGATATTCTCAGGAAGTCTTAAAAAAATGAATCTTCCTTCTTGAAAAGTTAGAAGCTTTAAAAATAAAGAATAGCTACTCCACAAACTTCCTGTGAAATGCAGGCACTGGAATATGTACTTTTTTTTTTTTTAAGCACATTGCACACCTTTTGTTATTCAACTTGACATGAATCATGCTTACAGAATTTTGGCAAGACTCACAATTTAGGTTCCCAAATGAGTATTCAACTTAGATTAATTAAGACTGTTATTTCATGGAGTATAAATACAACTGCTTATTAAAACATATTTATTGAGGATAAACAATTATGTAATAGAAACCAACTACAGAATATAATAATATGACTAATGAAAAAGGCAATTGATTACAAATGACATAATTACTGAGGGTTAAGAGCTATGCAATTGATATGACTAGTATTCTTTAAGCAGGTTTTAATAAGCATTTTGATCATTATTTAACATGCAATAACTCACTTTTTACATCCAAGCACAGAGTCACTTTCCAACTTGGTACATGTAGCTTTCACAGCGCTTATGGGAGGTGCAAAGATTATAGCTTTACCCTTAGGATTGAGGGAAGACATTGACAAAGAATGTTAATTAAGTGTTACATATTGTATTTTATTTTAGGAAATGGAAAGAAAAAACTGAGGTCTTTGACTGGAACCTTTGGCCAACTCTGTGACAAATGAGAAGCCCTACACTTGTCAGAGGTACCTCAGTTTGCGGAGAGGATCTAAGGCTACCATTTGAATGTTTGTGACTTGATCTTTCCGAAGGAATCCCCTAAGAAATCAACTTCATTACCATCATCATTCCTGGGGGTGGTTTACCAGAGATTAGTAGCTTTGGTTTGATTCTGGCATTAAAATGAGTATTTCCTCTAACTTCTTTACGGTAACGTGATCTGCACAGTGGTACTGAGAAGGGGAGAGATGTGAAGAGACACAATCGTTATTTATGACCTCAGTTTTAGGTCATGGACATAAGGGGTATGGTATGAAGTTAAAATAGTGTGAATGGAATTAAGCCTTTTCCGAGAGTTTACAGGAACCCAGAGATGGGAGCTGGGAGAAAGAGCAAGTGTGTTCACGACAGCTTTCCATGTGGTGCATCAGAACCCAATATCAATGCTGTGTAGGTCACACTGCAATTTGGTTCCTGCAGCAAAATGCCTTCTTTGTTCTCTCAAATCTAGTTACGAATGCTGTTCTCCAACATTTTGGGGTTTCCGGATGATTCCTTTACAGGGCTCTCTGTTATCATTTCTGAAATGTTATTTACTGATCCTTTTTCCTAAAGGATATACAGAAGGGATCGGCTTCTAGCCAATGGTGATGGGACACTGTATATTTGTGTTTTTAGATGACATTTGGAAAAGGCTTTCATTCAGAATTGTGTCTTTTAAGATGTAGATGGTCATGTTATCTCTGCTATAGTTTGACAGTATGGATTGGGACAGGACCCTTGATCTTACAGTTTGACAAATACTGCAGAGGCATCTCAAAATGGCCTTTTTCATGGATGTTAAGATGCCCATAACTTTTATCCTTTGAAGGGCGTGTCATTTGGCACAACTGTGAGATGGATGATGTGTGTGTGTGTGTGTGTGTGTGTGTGTGTGTGTGTAGTATCCTTGTGTTCCTTTCTGTCACTTCATCTCTGTAGCTCTATTCACCCCCAGATGTTAACAGCTTTTGTGGTATTGACATTCAGATCACCACAATCTTCCCCTCTCTCCATCCTGCTTGCACCCATGCATGAGTACCTTCACGTAGTCACACACTGAGTAGATAACTCTAAGTTATGTCTAGATTTCCTTCCTCCATGCTCAATTCATAATTTAAAAAAATTATCCACTTGCTGTTGTATTCCCTCTGGGTTCTGCTGAGGGTCGCAAAATGTTGTAGTGGTGTGGTTGAGCACTGACTTTGGGTCAGACTGCTCTGAGTTGGAGTCTATTCTAATATTTGCATCTTGACTACCTTGGCAGACCTGTTTCCATTCTCTAAGCCATGGTTTCTTTGTCTGCAGATTCAGGAAAATTAAAAAAAAAATTGTGTCTACTTAGGGTTGTTGTAGACAATAAATTAGATGATTCATGCACAGCACTTACTTAGCACAGTGCCATCCATATAGGAAGTGTCCCATAAATTGTAGAACAGTTATTGCTGCTGTTATTGAAGAAAAAGCAGCTACCCTATATAATTGCCTAATGTAATCAGATCTATATCTAGATGTGAATAGTTAGGTCAATTGCCTCTATCTCATCAAAGCATCAAGGCTTATAGGAGCTATTGTTCTCCCTGACTTCCATAGCCACCTCTGACCTCACAGGTTCAGTGTAATCAATTTTCCCAGCTCTCTTCATGGCACCTTTCTAGGTGCAATGGGTTATGGGGAAATGAATAACTCCTCTTTGACTTTCTTGGACTTTTTCCATATGTGAAAAAAATCTTAACCTTTAGGATTGCCTTTGTTTCATGTGACTACAATTTGGCTCATCTCTTGGGTTGAAAGTCGTAGGAGAGGGGGTGGAAGGCTGGGCAAAAAGGTGGAGCAGAATAAAGCTAACAACAGAGTTTATCCAGGGGCTGTCTTACTCGTCTTTTAATCTTCAATACATTGCCTAAGCCTGGTGTGCTCGTGTTTAGTAAACATTATTTGATCTCTGGAATGAATGAATGAATGAATGAATCCTCTTCCAAGCATGCCAAGTAGCCTCCCAAGGGTCAGAGGCCATTGCCCTCTGAATTGGTGTGTAAGTCTTCCAGCATAGAAGGGTACATACCCAGTCCTCATTGTGGCTCTTGTGACAGCTGCTCTGTGTAGCATCATACCACATAAACTTCTCATTTATAGGTCACTCCTTTAAAAAAAATTAAATTCCCTGGCTTGATAGCCACATAATAGGGATAATGGGAGTTGTTTTGTCTCAGCTTCCCTTTCAAAGCAAGAAATCTTAACCTGGGACCAGATACTTCCATGGTTCTAAGAATCCCCTGAAAGTGTTGCCCAAAATTTGGGTGTCTGTGCAGTTTTTTCTGGGGAAAGGATTCATAGTTTTTATGATTCTCAGTGGGCCTAACTTCAAAGGTCACCTTTGAAATTTACAAGCCATTCTCTTGAGGGCAATGGCACATAGAGCTTTGGATTCCAGTGCCATACAAAGGCCCACTCTCAATGAGAGTCCATCTCAACTGTTCCGTTTTAGATTTCAGGGGTGGGATACTACCGAATTATCCTATCAACATACGTGTTTTTGGAAATATGGCCTATAGGTAAATTTGAAATCCTAGAATCCACTGGGAGGGTTTGGTGTAAATTAGATATAAGACGAGGCAGGGTTTTGAGTACGGTCTCTGGGAGAAAGGAAGCAAATTGTGGTGAAAAGAAAATGTTGGAATTAGTACACACCCAATGTGTCTTATGGAATGATGAGACAAATAGTCGGTATCCACCTGAGGACACCTGTGGGTCACTCACTCTGTGGAGTCCCTTCTGGAGGCGTAGCCAAGAACTCTTTAAAAATGCAATACACTCTTGAATACCTTCAGGATATTAAAAACTATTAGAGGCGGGATGGGAGACTTATGGCAATAGCACATCAGCTATGACAGGAGTAACTTTTGTGTTTTTCAGCTTGCACACTTGGGCTTCTGGTCACCACTCTGACATTGACAGATGAGACACTCAGACAATTCACTCAGACAATTTTTACAGATATGGTACAGGTCTGCATCAGGCTTGTTTTAAAGATCACTGTGCGTTTTGCAAATGAGCTGCACGAGCACCTGTAAAACCTATTTGTCCCTGAGTGGAAAAAAAAAAATGTGGCAACTGTGGTTTGTTGGAAGGTGTATAACTTTTGGAATAAGAAAGGGTTAGGTCTGAATACTAACTTCACTGCTTAGCAGCTGGGTGGAGTTGGAAAAGAGGAATTCTTGCCGAACCTCAATTGATCCCCCTGTAAATCAGGGATATTAATACTTAATTCTAGAGTTGTTGTCAGGCTTGGTGGTTAATGTCTAGCTTCATGAATAGTAGGCAAGTAATAAATGGCAACTATTATTGTTAATATGAAAAAGGATATAAGTCATTTATGTGCCATTAGGCAAAAAAAAAAAAAAGAGGTTCATATAAGTGAATTTCAAGAACAGCTCTTCTTCTGAAATGCTATATTTTTAGCTGCTTTCTAAAATATACATCATATAACTTTCCCTTCCTTGAGGATACAGGAATAATATATTTTATCTTTTCTCAGGATTCAACATCATTTTTGAGATCATCAGTGATGTATTACTATATTCTACTATAAATAAGAATACTTGCTTTCAGATCTGTTGGTTCCCAGAAAAGTGAGATGAGCAAGAGGAACATCATCATGGAGATGGGAAAATGCCAATAGAAAGAGACTTTTTTACAGTGGGGTCCGGGGGTGGGGTGGGGGCTGAGGGGAAGCAGGACCATTGAGTTGAATAAACCCAGAGAGCCCTGGGTTCAAGTTCTACCTGCAGCATTTACTGACTTCACTTGGTTTCTTCCTCTGTTTCACATACCTCATGGCTTCAGTTTAACCAGTAAATGAAAATTCACTTGATTAAATGAAATAGTCTGTACAAATGTAGGAGATATAATATAGTAATCGAGTTTTCAGAAAATTCAGGATGGGGACAAGAAGCAAGCATAAATAAGGCAATTCTTCTCCTTACTTTGTTCATATATACTCGATTCCAGACATTATAACCAACATTATATATAGCACATATATACATATAGCCAACGTTATATTGGTTTCAGGTGTACACATGATTCAATATTTGTATATGTTGCAAAATGATCACCATAAGTCTAGTTAACATCCTTCACCATACATAGTTACAGAATTTTTTGTGATGAGAAATTTTAAGATTGATTCTCTTTTTTTGTTTATTTATTTTGAGAGAGAGAGAGAGAGAGAAAGAGAGCGAGCATGAGGAGAGGAGGGGCAGAGAGAGGGAGAGAGAGAATCCCAAGCAAGCTCCATGCTGCCAGCACAGAGCCCAATGTGGGGCTTGAACCCACAAACCATGAGATCATGCCCTGAGCCGGACTTGGATGCTTACCCAATTGAGCCACCCAGGTGCCCCAGGATTGGCTCTCTTAGCAACTTTCAAGTATTCAATGCGGTATTATTAACTATGGTCACAGTGCTGTACATTACATTCCCATGAGTGCTGTATCTGATAACGGACCAGCTGATTTTGAGAGGACTTCAGTTTGCTTTTGAAGCGATCTTTCTCACAGAAAAGAACCATGCAGAATTTTATCCTTAGAAAACAAAAAGCATAGACAGACCAAATAGAAAGGTTAGGTAACCCCAAGAGATTATGTCTGTTGATGAGACTGTTTTGGGGTGGTATCTTCTGGGCAACTGGATCAATGCCAGAGTTTGGCACTGCACCCTTTGTAATCCATTGCCCACTGTGATCCCCCAGGAAGAGTTAAAACAAGGCTATTAGATGACATGTGAGTGTGGTCTGAGAGAGTGGTGTTCAGACTCTGTTCTTCAGCATTTGAGGGGTCCACAGGAGTGATCGGAGGTTTGCGAGCACTAGGAAAGCTTCCAGGAAGGTGTCCAAGAAAGCACAGCTATCAAGAGTCCTGTCCTTATTTCAGTAAGGGTAACTCCACCACTATCTGTTTAAATATCAGATTTCATTTGGAAAGAAACAAACAAAAACAAAAAACAACCACAACAACAACAAAAAAAGGATTTCTTGGCTTAAAAACATCTGAGACTCAAAGGGAAGTACTTTACCCAAGAAGCAGTTGGTCTGAAGAAGTTGGGAAAGTTGCCACAATAAAGTCTGAACCGAGGAACTATCCATTCTCCTCCCTCATTTCTGTTTAACTACATGAGTTCAAATACTCCTGAAGAAACCTCTCATTGTTCCTAAGTGCAAAGGATTTTCTTCTTTTTTCTGGTCACTTGTTGACATCAT